ATCTACAACTGTGTTACTAGCAGGACCCACAGAGCTAGTGCCCAGCCCGTTACCCAAACGAGACTCCAGGCATGAAGCGATGGTCTCACCAATGCAGAGGCCTATCTGTGCAGCCATACCAGCCACATCATTGCCTGGTATCTCCCCCCCTTGCAGAACCTGTGCCTGTAACATGTCACGACCCACATCCTCACAAGCACCACCACCTCCCACCAAATCCCTAACATTGGGTCCTGGAGTGGATGCTCCTGGAGAGAGCAAGAACATAGCCCTGCCCCTGCCAATCACCGGAAGGGGTGTGGATGTCACCGAACCCCTCCCTCTCCCAAAAACCATGTTATTATCCATCATGTACATACTACACAATAATACAATCCCCCAACAAAAAAATGCAGTAGGATTCTTTTCCTCTCTCCTTTCTTTCTTTTCTTTTTTTTTTTTTTTTTTTTTTTTATATATATAAAAGCTCACAAAATGTCCACAAAAATGTTAAACAGTCTTTAACATGTCACACAACATCAAGTAATAACCCAGTCCGCTGAACCAGACAATCATCAGAAGGATACCCCGCCACAGAGAAAGTCAGAGCCGCTCCGGAATAGGGCTGCGCATCCAGAAGGGCCGACACTCACACACCACCCGACCCCACGTGGGGCTATGTCCAATCACAGCGAAGGAAGCGACGAGCCGACGTGTCACGAAGGGGCCACTTGAACCTGCGCGCTGATTCGCTGAACAGAAGTCTCTGATCGAGCCGAAGTGGCGCGGCCCCGCTCTGCCTCGCCGCAGCTGCTCCAGGCGATAGACGGGCCCCGTCCCGACGAAGGAAGAAGCCGAACGGGTCACGGCACCAGTGTAACCACGCCAGCCCTGGTACTGGCAGGTTCGGTTCGCTTTTTCTTTAATTACTCTGCGTTGTGTTGAATGAGTAACTCCGACACAGGGGTTTGGTCAACCTGAACAGGCCGTTTATTATTCACCTGAAAATAACAAAGGAGCGCTGGTCAGGACTGTCGGCTCGTGGTCGGGTCACAAAATGCTCCCGGACGCATCCTCCCAATACTGACATCAGACGCAGCTGATGACGTAATTACGCCAGCCTCAGGGAGGAGGCGCCCGCAAGCCAACAGACCACACAACGAGACAACCTCAATAACTATGGCAAGTGGAATCACACTGTTCACTCCGTTACACATGTTTAGCTTATTTAAAACTGGACTTAGCAAATATTTGAAATGCCTTAGTGCTATGAGCTCATTTTTCTCAGAACAACATATAACAATGAATATCTGGTATTAACTAATCAATCAAACACTCTGAACCAACACAGTATTCAGTGGTGATAAAACATTCAACAAGTCACATCAGGAGCCATACAAAATCAATAGGGAACCATTTGCACATGAATTAACTGCCGAATACATTAATTTCTGCCTTAATACACATATTTTACATGCGAGTTTACTACCGCGAAGATAGCGTTCACTACCGCGAAACTACCGCGATGGTGCGGCTCGGCTTTACCGCCGTTGTGAGCCCCGGCTCAATATTCTCCAATCACACTGACATTAAAAGTTACACAAGTCACCACAACATATTGACTGAGCAACCTACACATCATACGAAACTTAGAGCTTTAATTCACAGTTCTTTTCAAACGAGTACTAACCTGCAAAATATATGTAGAGTGTGAGAGTAGGAACAACGGCGGCACTCTCAAATTCGTCCAGATTGCGTATGAGCGGTAACAGGAAGTTGCTCCGCACAATGCAACCAGGTAGTGCCAAAGGTTCCGCCCCTCTACATTATTATTTATACAGTACTACTCTTACTAAGCGTGCAAATATTACTACAATAATATAAAGTGATGTCAAACAATTTCTCATATTTACCAAAATAACATCAAATGTGGTCACATATTTTGGATGTGCCACATATGGATTAATTGTCCATAAGAGTTATTGGAATCCAGTGATGGGTATTGAAGGTCCATGTGATATGACAGTTGATATGACTGAATTGTGAATACAGCCAAGGTGGCAAGCGGACTGGATGATGCTGTTGCTGCGAGGCAACAGTGCTACCAACTGCGCCACCTTGCAGCCACATTTATTCTTATGTTACTTTATTTTTTCTGAACAATATCTGACACAAGAAGTGACTTCAGGAATAAAAAGTTCTATCTTATCTTTGCTTATCTTATTTATCTTACATCTATAGACTTATATCAGTTTTTGTTAGTCTGAGTTTCTACAGAGCTCCTCAGGAGTCCTATGGTGGAATACACACTTTTAAAATGACAACTACCACTCTGAATCTAAAAGATTTGCAGCTGAGTTTTAGTGCCAAAACTGTCATTTTCAGCTAGAAACTTTAAAAAACATAAATAATCAGCCGATTTTCAACGTTCTGACAGTTATTGAACATGTCATGTGTTGCGAGGTAGGATTAATGAAACTGATGAAAACCAAGACTTGTTCACTCTCTGAACCCCAAAACTCATCGTGAAAGAATCCCAATATGACATAACACACTGGATCAATAAAATAAATGCAGCATGGCTCAAAAACAGTGAACAGAGGAGCAAGTTGTTGAAGATACATTCAGCATGGTCAAACATCTATCTACAGCTGATGAGCAGAGTTGAGAAAGAAGTATGTGGAGGCTGGAAACATGGAGATTAAATATCTGTAGTATGTGGAGCCAGTGTTGGGAACAGCTGTGGACACTTAAAAAACATTGTGCAGTTTGTATGAAACAAATAATCAGAGAAATTCCATTTTTGTTTACTCTAATTTCTGTCATTCAACGTGTGTCATACAGCACAGAAGACATTTCTGAGTTTTCTCTCCTTCTTTATGGCTGTTCTGTTTCTATAGAGGTTCAAGACTTTATACTGCAGTGAAAAATGAGCCACAGGAGGAAAAAATGAGAGGGGAACAAAAAGACAAAAAACAAATTTTAAAAAACCCAAAAACTGCCTATTTTTCCTTTATATTAACAGGAATACCTCAGTAGGAGGGGTGACGCCAAAAAAAGTTCTCTGCTGCCAGTGTGTCTTGGTGGTCACTCACAGTATTGCAACAACAAAAGCATCCCTGAACTCCCAATCTCACACTTTTTCTTTTTCCGTTCACTATGTACTGCAGCAGCCTCTACAAACATACAGTCTGTATATTTCATCAATAAATTTACAAAAAAAAAAAAAAAAAAAACTGAGGCTGTAACGTGCGATCACACTGACTTTCCACTGAAGTCGAGATAAAGACTGAAGAGATATTTCCCTTTTCTGACTCCATTCAGGTCAAACATCATCATCTCATCACATACGATTTCCTTCAGCTGTGGCAGTTAAAAATAAACCTGTGTGTGGTTGTTATTATCACACTGGCAGATAATAAAACACTCTCACAGGTGAGTTGACTCTCACTGCTGCTTCCTGCTTCACCAACATGACCACATTCAATGTCAGAAATGTGTCATTAGAGTGAAGAAGCAGCTCTTCCAGCCACATTCTTTATATTTAATGGCATGTGACTGTCTATTTTTAAATAAAAATTTCTAATTTGGTTTTCACTGTGCAGCATTAAAGCTGTACAAGAAATAAATTTGTGTGGTTATGATGTCTTTATTTGTCTGGCATTTATCAAAAATGAAGTTATAAAGTCCTTCACATAGACCATAGTGGTAATCCTAAAATCAGAAATGGCAAAAACCCAAAGCATGAAATAAGCACATAAAATTAGATGAAACACTGAAAAATAAAATAAATGTAAGTACTAATAATGGCTGTTTGTGTTTTGTTTTTGGTCTTTTTGTCATTTGCAGACACACACTGGGACAAAAAAAAAGTCTTTAAACTCCTCTTTTGTGTTGAAAATATTGCATTTACCGATAATTTTCCAGTTAACCAAAAAAAAAAGGAAAAATAAATGTTTGTTAATAAGTTTACATATTTGACTTTGGAAGCTGTAGTTACATATTTTTTTAATTTTTTAATTTTTTTTAATCAAGAAGAAGCTAGTTGAAGCAGATCTTCCTGCGTGGAGTTTCCCCGTCCAGCGTGGGATCTCTCCAGGTTCTCCGGCTTCCTCCCACAGTCCAAAAACATGTTGAGGTTAATTGGTGATTCTAAATTGTCCGTAGGTGTGAATGTGAGTGTGCTTGGTTGTCTGTCTCTAATTGTAGCCCTGTGATAGACTGTTGACCTGTCCAGGGTGTCCCCTGCCTTCACCTTAAGTCAGCTGGGATAGGCTCCAGCCACCCCGCGAGCTTAGTGAGGATTAAGCGGTGTATAGATAATGGACATCTCTTATCTTTTGTCACTGTTTATGTCATTTCCAGTCAGAAGAAATCTATTTGTTGAATAAAAAATCTTTATAAATCAAACTTTGGCATCGATATGAATAAATTAGGCTTTAACAAAAGGTTTTTTAAAAATTATTATTTATATATATTTTTTTACATTATTAGTATTTATATTAAGGCATTTATTTAGATAATATATTTCACTTTAAAAGAAAATAATTAATACAACATTTACAATAATATTAATTATTTTTGAAAGCAGTTGTGACCTTTAGTATCATCTACAATTCCATGTGGATAGCCAGAAAACACATATTTTAGCACATTTTTTCCCACATTTTCATTAAATTTTGTTACATGTATTATGACACTGCACACACCTGCTGCCCTTATAAGGAGCTTCCTTCCTGCAAGTTGATGCTGGGGGGAAACAGGAAACCACTCCTCTGTTTGCTTGATAATGCTGCTCAGCACTGTGGGTAAACTGGAGGCTTATCAGCGGCCAGTTTGAACTGTCAGGTGTTTTCAGGAGTTTTGCTTTAAATTTTGGCTGGCTAGCCAAGTGACAGCTGCCTGATTAGATTAGCAGTGTTTCGTTTTCATCTGTGCGTCCTTGTTTCTGCATTTTCTCAACATTTACTGCTGCAAAAACACTCGTAACACTTTATGACACAGCCCAGGATTTACTGTTTCTCTTTGCTGTGTAAAAAAGGTGCTAATAAAATACTTACTGGGTCATACTGGTGCAACAATGCCTGATTCCTGTTTCCCAGTATTCGCAAAAATTCTCGCTTCAGATCTTAGTAACATTCCTGTATCGCTTTAAGTGCAGCCTCAGTTTGAACTGCATATATTATGCACATTTAAGTGATGTACCATGACATGATTTGTAGATGACTTTTTACTCATTTCATTAACATATTGGACCAAAAACATCACAGACACTAAAAGACAGTTTGAAAAAGTAAGTTCTTCATGTTTTTCTGTTTCCACAGAGCTTCAGAATGTCAAAGGAGCAAAAAAAAAAAAAAAAAAGAACGACAAGACCCCAGTTCGGAGTTTAAAGAGCTTATTGTGTTTTCTTTAAGTTGATCAAAAACATGACTTTTGCCAAAAAAAATAACAGAAACAAAAACAAAAACCAACCCGGATATATCCAATCACATCGAAGAGCCACATTCCATTATTGTGTGTTGTTTTTCTCATTTCAATTGTGCCTTCTTTCACTCCTAAATTTTCTTTTTGGAGTTCTTTGTGTGAATTCATTCATATAAGGTGCTTGCAGATTTATCACTCTCCAACCAGCAGAATCAACAACTCAAAATGTCGCTGCTGCATGACGATAAAACATTATGTGAGGAACAAACAGACAACTTCAGTCAGAAGTTGTGTCTCTAAACAACTGCCTTGAGTCTTTGCACAAGCGGCTTGTTCTGCATCTTTAAACTGCACAGGGAGGAGGTTGGGGTTGATGGATGGGCAAAAGACACTTAGGACTTTGACTACAGCGGTCAGGATTCTTGTCTTGGATCTCACCTGAAAGAACTTCCAGAAACCTGCAGGCACCATAAGAACCGTCTCTACAGAACTTCTTTCACGTTTGATTTCAGGGAAGAGAAAAGTACTGTGATCCTACATCGCAATGGAAACAAGAAGGCTTAAAGGGCTGATTAGGTGTCTATTTCTGTAAACGTTTGCGCCACCTTGTGCGTGCGCCAGAAAAATGTCACCCCTACATTGAAGGAGTTTTTTGCAGTCACACTCTGATTGTAAAAACACCACCAACACAAGACAGCCACACCCATTTACACCATATTTTGGCTTTAACACGTCAGTCTCCAATGTACACCATTAAAACATTTAACGGATCAGTCTTGTGTGCTAATCTAAATGTGGAGAACTTCCTGACTTCCCCACTGCATCAATTGGTTCATGTTGATCGGCATCATGAGCCTCTTCTCTTGCAATACCAATTAGTAATTTATGAAAAAGCATCTCACTGCTTTCCTGAAACCGCAGTTTTTACAAAAAAAAAAAGTAGATTTGTGGGAGACAATTTTCAGCAGCAGATTAATCTACATTTGGTGCTTTAGTGAGCATTTTTGGAACTAAAATAAACTACAGTGTTTGACATGAAGATGAAATGTTAACTGTAACTGTTAACTGCACAAAGAACAAATAGCTGCTCTTGTCTGTCTGAGAAGTTGATGAGTGAAAGTCAAACACAACAGAGACTGAGGCTTCGCAGAAAAGAAAAAAAAAAGTTTGAAGCTCAGGAAACGCTGCGGTATTTTTAGTTTGTTGTCTTCCTGATGAGTCTCATCAGCACCTTGATCACATAAACCTGCCATTCAGTTTCTTTTTCTTCCCCTCTCTGCTGTCTTAGGTGGAAAAAACATCTCCAGTGGACTGGAGATGTTTTTTCCACCTCCTGTAGTTCACTCACATTCAAGCTTGAAATGTCCAATTTTGACTTAAGTTGACTAAACTCATTAAATTAAGTTGATAAGAAACAAAAATAAGCAGATATGCAGACTTCCAAAGATGCACTGCTGGAGAGTTATAACTGATATGAACCAATCACAGACAATGGTACAGTGTCAGAGAATCAGTTTTTTCTCGTCAAACGGTTGCATTTGAATGCACCACTTTTGACAGACTTCTGACTCAGTTTCAAGTCTCAAATGAGACTTAAATCCACTTTTTTTGACAGTTTCAACATGTTGACCATTGAGTCTGAGATTTAAAAGCTACTGTTTTAAAATCTTGTCTTGCAGAAATTCTTACTTATTATTATTTTTTAATCACATTCATTGTCCACATCCATGACACCATGTTTGAAGAGTTTGCAGCAGTTTGCTCAGAAAGAAAATCTCAAATCCAAAGTTAGAACTCACTATTAATGTTGAGTTCAGTGGGCCCTTTGAACTAAAAACTGAAGTAAAATCCACTGATGTAAACATAAAGTCTTTGGCTAAAGCAAGGTATAAGTCAAGATTTAGTAGCTAATGTTTCTAAATCTCATTTTGTACAAATGATTCATTTATTTACTTTCACTGCATTCATTTCCTGCTCACTAGTGTGATGCCATGTTTGAAACTTATGAGGCAAATCTGAAAATATTGCTCAGAAAGAAAATCTTAAATCCAAAGACTGAACTCATTATTAATGTTTACTTCAATGAGCCTTCAAAGCTAAAAGCTAAATGAAAATCCACTAAAATAAGCATTAAGTCTGGAGAAAAAGCATATAAATAAGTGTATAATTATGTGACTACTGTATACAGTTAATATGTTGTATTAAATCAACAAACTTAATCAAATTTTCAAGTAAATCCTCCCAGGCGAAGAAAGTCTCACTGTTCCTGAAACCTTAAAAGTCAAAAACAAGCTTCCAAAGAACATTTCTGAAGCTCTTCTCTTCTCCTCTGAAGCTCTGACGGGGAATTTCCCTTCGAGGCAAATATCAAAATGGAAAAAAAGAAGAAAGTGTGTGACAGAAGAAAAACGTGCTGTTAAATTTGGAAAGTATGAACATGTGAGTAGAAGTGTGAGTCATCGGTGTCTCCCCTCAACTCTACACTCCAGTGGTCCGTTCAGCTCCGCAGAGCACCAACTTTCAACAAGACAACTTCTGCAAAAACACAACCAAAGCAACACTTTCGCTCTCAGATCAGGTTGATTTTTAATACAACGTACTGCATTTATGAAGCAGAAATCAGGGCTTTAATTTACTTTTATGGAGCAGAGCGACATCTGAAGACTGTCCTCTACTGGAAGTTTCAAAACACAGTTTAACTTTAAGTTCTAGTTTGTGCACATAAACACAAAACCTCATTTTAGACACCTGAATATGCTTAATAGGAACCAGAAAACTGTAGGTAGATTTCCACTGTGACAGTATTTTTTATGAAGGTTTTAACCCTCTGAACTCCCAAACCCTCCGCCAGGTTTGAAAGACCTGACATTTTTAAAAAGCTGCCAAAAATCTACTGTTCATCAGCACAGGACATGTAAAAAGAGAAAGAATAAGTCTAAGAAATGCAAGAAACCAGACTGAATCAATTGCGACTGACAGTCACGTGACAAAAATTCAGGTTCAACTGCAGGAAGTGTTTCCACAGAGAGACTGAAAGGAAAATCAGACCTACTGGATCAATAAAATAAATGCAGCATGGCTCAGAAACAAACTGCTTGGAGTTCAGAAAATTAATGCCCTCAGGGGCCAAAATTTGTGGTTGGACTGTGTAACCAAAGAAAAGTGTCCCACTGTTATTACAGTCAGTGAACTCACCACAGACCGTCCTCTGACACATGACTGTGTTTCCTGTCAAGACTATTAGAAATAAAATAAACTAAAAGACCTTCTTTTCTGAGCTTTCAGTCACATTTCAGGATCTTCACCAACAAACTAAGATTCATTCTGGGATTTTAAAGGAAATGTAGCTTCATGGAAGAACCGAACCTAAAGTCCGTTTCTTTCCAAAAAGCACCACAGCAAAAGACATAACAGACCACTGAGCTGCAGTTGGCAGGTTTTTCTGTCAGTGGTCTGCAGACACACGAGGTTTCACTTTCCGCTCAGCATGGGGGGAAACTTGACGCTCGGGAAAACCCTGCAGTGCTGAGTGGGAGAGCTGCTGTTACAGACGCTTCGTCCAAGTAGAATTTTATGTCTATTTATAGAGACCACCACTGAAAAAGAAGGCAGAAAGAGGCAGTTTTTCAGCTGCAAATACAAAGTTGCTGCTGATTAGATCTGCTCAGTAGTTTAACTATAAAAACTCATCTGACCTCAGCAGATGCAAGAAAATATCAGCGAGTTGCCTACAGACTCCTTATAAACAGGTCAAACCAGGAAATCAAACACCTCTAGGCGTCATATCAACTGAATCTTTGTTCACTACTGTGGCTTTAACTAGGCATCACTCACTTTGGACAAAAGAATTTAGAGAATGAACAAAGAAAAATGATCTGAACTCATGTTTAACACAAAGATGCCAAAACATGTCAGAGTTCCATTTGATCAAATGTGACGATTTGCTGCTTTTCCTTTAAATCACTTTATTTTGAAATCTTATTTCATCATTGAGCAGTTGGTTGGACAAAATAAGCAGAACTTTTGATTCAGTAGGTTGACACAAGCTGAGGCTCATGGGAAAGCTATGGTATAACTCCTGCTGAGAAGCCAGTCCGATTCATCCTTTGGGAACCATGAATTTATGGACAAAAGTTCATTACAAGCTGACTTTTTAGGTATTTCAGTCAGAAAGGGCTGCGCTAACTACAATTTTAGAAGCTTTTAAAAAAAAAATCTCTGCAAACATTGACAGATAAATAGACTCAGACTCTATGTATATCATAAATATAAACATGGGTGTATAAGGTAAAAAAAAAAAAAAATTAAAAAATAAAAATTGGGGGGCAATTTTTCTACTAAAACTAAAGCTCAAATCACATAAAGTAATGTACTGTATGTGTTGACTGTAAAAAAAAAAAAAAAGTGTCCACATCAAAAGTCTGTATTTTGAATGCAGGTGCACCATCAGCTTTAAAGCATGATGAATACAAAACAGACTGAAGCACAGATTCGACTGAGATCAGTTGATGAGTAGGTTTTGAAGAGTTGAAGGGTGAATTGAAGGTTTTGTGTAAATGTCCTCATGAAAGAATGTTAATAAAAAACCACCACCAGTTAATTCTG